AGTCGTTATTCAATTTAATCTGGCTTCGTGTGATTAAAAGCAACACGATCATCGACCCGACGCAGTTCCCCGTTGTTGTTGTGAGCGCCGTAACGCCGTTGGGGAGCAAATCAGCGATGTAAACGATGACGTCATGACGCAGCAGCGGCAGCACCAGTCGGGTGCTAAGGGCGGTGTGAACAGACCGGGAGCAGAAAAGGGAAACCGGAGCTGAACCAGAAAAGCTCTAGCTCGGAGCTAGAAAGGGAAAAGCGCTGGTGTGAAAGCCGCATCAGCTCCGGAATCCGGTTCGTTTCAAACGCCAAAAAATTGTCCGGCCAGAGCAAAAGCACCACATACGTCACGCTTACGTCGAGGCGGGGGCAGGGGCAGAGACAGATCAACTCCTGAACAACAACAAAAAGCCCGCGTTTTATCCAGTTTGTACACAACGATGGAGAAACTTAACAAGAGTTTCAGTGTTTCTGCCATTGACTGTATATATAAAGGTTTCTGCTCATGGTGAAGCAACGTGTCTGCGTGTTAAGGTGGAACCTGAGCATTCACGTTGATCACCTCTCATTATAACTCATTATAAATCTATAAAACTATAAATATTAAACTTTACTTCACGTGTTCAACAGCTGTTAAATACCTCGGTGAAGGTTACAGTTCATTTAAATGAAAGATACAACGTTACTCCACACTCATGGTTCAGTCCACCTTAAGAAATAAGACCGACCTCGGAAGCTTTGTGTTTTAAAAAAACCTTTATTGACCCGAGTACACTTTTTTATAAGAATATAACTAAAACACAGAAATGACTCCGGAAAAGCTGCAGATAGAGCCATAAAAAATGAATGCAACTGATTTTATCCACGCGGTTTGGCTTTATGAAGCATGCACGCAAACGGTTACGTCATGACGCAAACGATGACGCAACGACGCATTACCAGTCGGACTCTGGGCGGTGTGAAAAGAGCCAGAGCTAAACCGAAGAACTGGTTCTGAACCTGAAAAGCTCTAGCACGGAGCTTGAACCGGAGTTGCGTTGATGTGAATGAGTAAGTGAGAGTGTGTGTGTGTGAGAACGGTGGATGTTGATCATTAGTATAAAAACAGACTTTTTATTATATAGTATTTTACTTCTGCAACTAAGCAATGAAACTCTGAGTAGACAATCTGCCTCCCGTTTAACATGCACACACATGTTCAGTGTATGTGAATGGTCATGATGTCAGGCCTTTTAGTAGAGTTTAATTCTTTAAAACGGCATCTTATGTTCTTCATGATCAAATATTATTTTTATTATTTCTGTTCTTTTGGCTGATGAAAATAGTGTGAGGAGGTAGGTAGGCCTTCAGTCAAGATTACAATTCTGATAAGCCTTTATAACAGGGGTGTTATTCAAAAAAATTCAAAAAGTATAATGGAATATGGCCCACAAATGAAACTTGTGCTTGTCTTATATCGTATTTCTTAAATATAAATGTAAAAATATATTACACAGTAGTATTCATGAGTTAATAAGAACACTTTTCAAATAAATTCAGTCAATTAAAGTTGGAAACATTGATAAGAAAAAAGCCCAATGAGTTATTTACATAACAAGCTTGAAATACATCCTACCTATTTCTCCTTATTATATTCAATCTGAGGCTTCTGTTTTAAGGGATGAGCTGCCAACACTCACAAGCACAATTTACCTACACTTGATTGATTTTGCTAACTTATAACTGAACTTATGAGGCAATATACCTCTAGTGAGTGGCCCAGCCCTTCGTATATTTTTCTGCACTGTACCAAAAAAGTTTGGACACCCCTGCTTTATAACAATAATATGACACTTATCTTGTATCTAAGTGGGTCTGCTACACTGAGGTAGAGTTTTTGACATATTGCATTATGGAACAAAACAAGAAAAGGATGTTGTTCTGTTCCAGTGGTTACAAACCTGCGGGTTGAGACCCCTAAAGGGGCCCTATAGGATAAAGCTTGTGGGGACAAAGGATGATTATTTCTTGTGTATCACGGGAAACTTTCTCCTTCCTCTCTTTTGACTTAAAAAAAACACAGCATAGCTTTGAGCAAAAAGGACGAGCAAAGACTTGCTGAAACTCGCTGCGTTTTATGAGACATCCAATCTTAATTTATAGAAATACGAGCACCATTAGATCGTGGTTACGTATTGTCTGTGGTGTCGCTTATTTACAGTTATTACACTCAGGTATCACAAAGTTTACAAATGAAAAACCATCATGGATTGCAACTTTGCTAAAAGAACATCGTCCATCTCTGCGGCTACTTAAAGATTAAGGGACTCAACGCTGGCATTTTGAAAATCCTTAAAAAAAAAAAATAATAAGCTTTACAGACACCCAGCAGTGCGACGACTGACAGGGATGTCTTCATTATTGGAGTCGAAGTGGAGAAACTGGAGAAGTACACCAAGCCACATAATGATGGGTATCAGATTGAGGCCTCCCTCAGGCAGGTCTGAGGCCTGTCGAGTCCCAGTCTGAGGATGGCTCACAGGAGGCAGACCACAGCACGGGTCTCTCTGCACAGGACACTTTAAATGCACTGGTTGCCATATTTGTCAATGTATGTCCTTGTGTCACTTGTGTTTTTTAGATAGAGAGGGAAAGAACAAAAAATATAGCAACCTTGTGCCGAATCCCTTAACCCTTCCCATGTTAACATGTTTTATTCTTCAGATATATTTCCATCCATATATTCCCCCCACAGATTCATCAGTAATCTCTTGAAAGACAAATAAAAAGCTGAACTAATTGCTGTGGATCCCCCCCGGATATATCAGAGTGTGACAGCGAGAGATCAAGCCGTTGTGCAGAGCGGAAAGCCTCCATGAATCACGTTTGTATCCACACTCACACGCACACAGCAGTGGCGTTGTTGGTGAGGAATAATCATTGGGGAGGCAGTCCAAATTAATACTTCAGCCGAGGCCGCCTCGTTCTCCATCATTAGGGCACATTACAGGGCCACAATATACATCATTAAACTAGGCATAAACAATTCATTAAAAGGCCGTTAAGAAGACAAGCTAATGTCACTTCTCTCTGTGGTATTAATAGACTGTAAAATGGCAGAGGGTTAAGGCAAAAAAGGATCATTCCGCCACGACTATCCAGTCACTCATCCTGAGTAATGGCTTCTCTGGTTGGTGTGGATTTAACAGACGACTCTACTTTTCCCCCAATCACAATGACACGATTCCACTTATGAAGCCTCAGCGTGGCACAGTGGTACCTTTTCTTTTGTTTTGTCAGTGATGGTCTACTGTTCACTGAAAGGGAAAAGGGAATAAGTTATTAGCATGTTCATTCCAGATATGTAGACACTTTGTTATACTGTCACATTTCTTATTACAGGGCTCTTACACATTTCCATTTCCAAATTCCATACTTTTCCAGAATCTAATTTCCAGACATCTGGTTGTTTGGTTTTTGCTTTTATTTCATTTCATTCTCGTTGTGGTTTAAATGTGTAATTTGTAAAGCACTTTATAACTGTATTTTCAAATATGTTATATACATACAAGTTATTATAACTAGTGTAAGGGAAACTTCTGTGTAGCAACGGAGAGGGAGTCACCGACTCAGGAAGGAGACACGGTAGGAGCAGTAGCTTTGATGTCAAACACTGATGGTTTATTTGGAGTTACGGCCGGAGGATTCACATCACAAGTCACGGCAGTCACGGTGAGACTGCACGGGTGGGTTGCCACGTCAATTCTGGAGAGCCTGTCTCTTGCTAGCCCATTTAACTGGTTCCACAGAGAGTCATCAACATGTTTTGATAAGATAGCTTTAGATAGTTTGGGCACACTAAGTTACCAGCTTCCGCCACTTATAGCCTTGGATATGTCATGCCCTGGAGTCCTCAGACAACAGAGAAGGAAGTGTCCCAGTGTACCCACAATACAGACCATCTGTGACCCAGTATTGACCGGTCACAGAATGGGAACAATAACATTATTGGCTGAAGCAGCCTGTGTCCTTAAAGGAGGTAAACAGACGTCAAGGTTTGTCCTGTATGTCACATCTTGGCGTCTATGATAATTATTTCCCTAACAACTAGTATAATAGAAATGAAATTAATAATACAAATGAAAAAAATATATATATCTGATAAAACGAAATAAGTCGAAAATACTATATTATGTTGATTTATAAGTCAAAATATAGTACTTCTAAAATATCTTAAAAAACAACATACTGTAGTATAGTATGTAAAAAAAAACAAAAAAAACGACATAGTATGTCTAACATGTCTGAATAAAGGACTTATAGTATAGTATGTCGAAAATATAATACAAATCAACATTCAAGATTTAGAAAGAAAAACAACACAGTATGCTGGTCTGTCGAAATGATCAGAAAATACAACATTCTATAGAATGCTGTAGATATGAGTAACACTACATTTTATAGTTTGTCAAAAATAATAATATCAGAAAAAACGAAGTAGTATAGTATGTTGAAAATACCATATTTCGACATAGTATAGAATGTCGAAAATTGCAAAGAACTAAAAAGTATAGTATGTTGAAAAAAGGAACAAAAAAAAGACATGGTTTAGTATGTGGACAAATATGCGCTTTTTTGCATATTTTGGATATACTGTACTTTTTTTGTGCTATTTTCAGGACACTAAACTTGACGTATTTGTCATTTTTCTGATATTTGAGAGTAAGATTATTAAGATGAACCTTTATTGATCACCCAAGGGGGAAATTCAGTTTTCTACTATGTTCATATATTTTAAACACACACATGCATTGGAATACACAATGCACGTGCATTATGAGGTGCCAGAGCCAAGAGGATTACAATCTATGACTATACTGTCGTCTTTTTCCATGTTTTTGATTTACTATTCTATGTCGTTATTTTCATATGTTTGACATATACTCTGTCCATTTTTTGCATATTTTCGACATACTAAACTATGTTTTTTTTTGCATGTGGGAAATAAAAAGAGCCACACTTTATCAGTCATCATTCTTTTAGTTTATTTAAAGTCTGGTGAAAGTCAAGCACCCAGTTTCATCATGAAAGAGGCACAATCTTTTCACACAACAGTGTCTTCCACAATGCAGCACAGGGAGCTTCGCTGTCCGTCAAACCAATGGCACAAAGGAGCATCGCACTACCAGTGGGACAAGAGAGATGCATATTCATCACAGAAAATCAGGGCCATCCCACTACCAAGAAGGGAACTGAAAGAGCATTAGAACCATACTTCTTCATTGGTCAAACATTGGCCATGAGAGTGAAAAAAGAGTCTGTATGAACTAATAAATGCTGCTGCTGAAAGTGGCTGTACACTAAACACTGTCAGGACTCCTAATGCTATAGGTGATTGGTGAAGGAAAGATCATTATATATTGTTGAGATTGAATATAATTGCAATGGATTTTGTAAGGACAGGCCAATGTGTAATGTTCGGCTTTCCACTCAACCAGCCATAATCCAGTCATTATCATCCCCATTTTGTTCAAACACAACTCAGACTGAAAAATATATACATTTCAACATAAATGCAAGCCTCATTTCGGCATGTTTGGGTTGCACAGCAAAGCCATAATTAAAGTAGGTAAATTGATATTAATACGAATGATCAATCTGGAGGATTAGCCTAGTTTAGCATAATTTGTGCGGCTGGATACAGACATCCAAAGTTATTAACTTAAAAAATATCTTAATTAGCCTTTAAAAAACCTGTTTTATGTCAAATGCTTAAAGTTCAGGTTTATCAAATTCCCTGCCAAAATAAGACGCATTTGGTACAGCCCTCGTCACTAACATATCTTTGTGTTTTGATTACTGTAGAATTCTGTGTTCTCTGGCCCAATATTAAGAAAAAATTGTTCTGTGATGCCGTCACTTCCACAGTACTTTGAGAAATAATGCTCTTAGGCTAACCATTCATAACTTTTAGCATTTCTCTGTAAACAGGATAAAAGACCACTTTGGTCTTGTTGAAAAGCCTTTTTTTTTTACGGTGCTAGGCTAACAATTCGGTTGCCTCCGCTTCCAATGTTTGAGTGTTCATGCTAAGCTAGGCTAATGGGGTACAACTGATTTTTTTCTAAGCTTGGCTAGGAAAAACGAAAAAAAGCACTGTATTTTTGTATATAGGGATAACCTTTTATAATACAGGAAAGTATAAATAAACATTATTTTGCATATTAATAACCATGACAGTATATGGCATTCAAACTTAAAGACCAGCTTTCTGCATATTACTTTGGTTGAAGGGCATAAAAGCAAAGCGTTTAATTACAATGTAACCATAGGGACACCACATTCAAACAGGAGCATAAGGCACACATATTGACTAGAAGCATGTGCTTAAAAGAAAACTCCAACTTAAAAATTAAATAATAAAATGCTTTTCAAGCACGCCTGCCACATTGCAACTGTGGCTTCATATATTACAAAAATGAAATACTCAGGGACAGCAGTATATCTCACAATCATACAATTACTGTGACATTCCAAACCCAAAATAAGATATCATGTTACATCATGTGTGTGTGTTGTTTAAGAGAAACACTGATGACTAACTCTGGCGTTATTAAGATGTCTGTTGTGCTGGTTTTCAGAGAAAAATGTGTGTAAAACAAATTAAAACCAAATAAAATATTATAACCCCTGAGTTTCAGGAAAAATACTGGAGGTCACACAGAGTGCTTTCACTGTTTAACATAACATCCTCAACTTAGTCTACAGTGCTCCTTCCATCCTGGAGCTTCATTTTGGTTGGTCGATACATCAGCAGTCAGACAGCAGTGAGTGTGAGAGACGACAGGAAGCTAGCGACATCATGAGAGCATTGGGAATCCAGTGAATTAGTGAACTATCAGAAGACAAAACTAACTCTTTATTCCCCTAAAAATGGCAAAATGATTACCTAACACAAAGCATGATCTGCTTGACATAAGACATAAACAATTATTAATCCAATAACTTTGGCCTGGTCAGATCTTTGTGCTTATTATTTGATATTTGATATCCTTGTAAGCATATATCTTTTGGTTTTGAACTGTGCATTTGTGTTCAATGCTTTTGTCGCTCTGTCTTTTCCTGCAAAGGGTGTTTTATTTTTCTTCTTCTGCGTGTGTTTAAAATAAAATAAATATTTAGCTGACTGCTTTTTTTCAAGTTGTCATGCATGTTTTTGATTAATCATGTTGTCGGTGACGGTGTGTTACTTTTCAACATGAGATATTTGTGATTCTGCAGCAACAAAAATAACTTGTGATACTTGCATTAAGGTTTCCACCATTCAAACGATGTGAAATAAGGCTGCGTTTCACCTGTAAAGCTCCTGATACCTTAGAACCCAACAGCATCACGTATAGTCTAATATAATGAAATCAAAGTGGCTTGACAGATGCCTGCAGAAGGATGCATTAAAGCAAACAGCATGATTACTGCACATTACAAAGCCCTGATCTTAAAGTAGGTTACCATCTAACACAAATATGTAACTGCTAAATCTTACTGCAGCCTTTCTAACTGTTTCCAATAAGGGTTTGTTTCACACTTTTTGTTTATTGTCCCTTGTTGTTGTCTTAACAAGATGTTCAAGGGACGACACATGTTTTGAATCCGATACCAAGGCATATTTCCTTGCCTTCTGTTGCTTGGCAAGTGGTGATTCAGATTCTGGGAAGAAGAAGCAGCTTTACTGCAACAACCCTGATTTCAAGTGTCCAAAAAAAATAACAACTAAAAAGTCTCACGTTGGCTATTCCTGTGAGAAGTCGTTTCCGTACAGCCAGTTAATCTGAAGGACCTCCTCACCCGGTACAACTGCTCTGTTTACCGAGCGCTAACAGAAGATCTTGTCAGACGCAGAGAGGTCAGTCATCTCTGACAGCATCTGACCTGCCTCTTATTCACTTTGGGGCAGTGTTTGCTTCAGAGAACGCTCCTGCTTTACTTCCTCTGGACTGTGGAGAATGAGGCGCGGCGGGGGTCACTGAGTGAAGCTCTTCTTGATGGCCACGTTGGGGAAGAGGCCGGAGAGCTCCTGGACCACCCGCATGTCTATCTGCGAACAGAAGGACAAGTCCAGCAGGAGGAGCCGAGGACAGGCCTGGAGGAGCTTCTTCAGCGAGGCGGGACTCACCAACCGTGTGCCTGTATTTGAAACCAGTCATATTAGAAGAACATAACAAAAACATGTATTGAGCAGAGAATTACATTCAAGAGATAAAGCAAGTAAATACAAAATAAATGCTCACTTTGTCTACAAGTGATATGTACAGAATCTCTGACAAGCACGTGAGAAATCTGGTGATCCATCTTCTAAATCAGATTTTTAAGTCTGTTTTCTCTCCTGTGCTTTTATGAAGGTGAATAGTTTTTTGTTTTTTTCCAGGTGTACACACCTTTGTTTAGAGTGTGTGTATATTTGTTAACTAATCTGGAGGAAAACATGAACGCAAACAAACACATTCACCTGGGAAATGTTTTTTCCCCCACCTGTTTTCACAGATGAAAATAAGAAGTCACTTTTTATGTTCTTGGTATAATCTTTCTTCCAGCTGTTCTTAAGTCATAAACACAGAAGAGAAAACAATACAGATCAGACTTTAGAAAAAAATACAGAATTTTTGAATGTTTTATTCTCACTCAGCCGTAACATTAGCATAGCTAGCCTAACTGTGCTGCCGAGCCCATCCCTTTATGCAACTGGAATGTGAGCAGTATTTCATTAGTATTAATAATAAGCAGATTATTTTGGGGGACTCCGTTTGCAATTAACACTTTTTCAAAGATTCTCAAGTACAACTCCAAATATACCACAGACATGTCCAACGTAAAGTGATGCTTTTATTATGACGAGTGAATGCGGTCAACAACAACTCAAGGCAAGGGGGAAACAAATCCAGTAACATTTACGTATGAACATGAAGTGCTATTGCAAAAATAGTTCTGTGCCCCTTTGACACGTTCAAAGTCATGATAAAGTCCACGTGTTAAAAATAGCAACAATGTTAACATGAGGTCATTATACCACATCCCACACTTAATATTCCTCTGCTTCAAATTAAGTTTACAAGAAAAAATTTGCTTAAATTAAATGAAAAGATATGTGAGTTAAGAGCTTACCCAGTATGTCGAGGTGCTGCAGGGAGGGGCAGCTGGCCGCCAGCTCCTCTACGTCTGAGTCGCAGACGGTGCGGTTGGCGGTGAGGAAGAGTTTGCGCAGGCGGGGCAAGTTGCGGGCGAGGTGCTGGAAGCATCCGGTGCTGCTCTGCAGGGTGGGACACCAGCCCAGGTCCAGCTCCTCCAGCATCCTGAGGGAGCAGGACAGCACTCGGGTGACTCGGCACACACATTCAGACGTTCACTGAATACAGGTCCTAATTTCTTTCTTTTTGCTCAGTTTGGACAAGAAGACATTCGTTGTTTACAGCACTGAAACAGTGTGTAATGCTTACCTGCAGCCGGTCACGAGCTCGGCCAGGCCTCGGTCCGTCAGGTTCCTGCAGCGCCACAGGTCCAGAGAGCGGAGTGAATAGCAGCGGGCAGCCAGCATGCTGGCCACAACGTCATAGTCATCGATCTGCAGGAGCAAAAGGCAGCCGTTAACAACTATAAACGCTCTCTACAGCGTGCAATATTTGAATTAGAACCGGAGGATGAAACCCTCTTTATTTTTGTCACATGCACACAGCTCAGCACACACAGTGAGATTTGACCTCTGCATTTACCAAACCTATTACTAGGAGCAGCCCAGGAGGGGAACCTCTCTAAGTAGTCCACACTCCATATTTTAGGTCTGGTCGGGGACCCTACGATTCCCAGTTCAAGCCCCTACTGACTGAGCCACTGCCGTTTGCAGGGCAACAGTCTCTCTGATGCGTAAAAACGGACCCTCAAAATATGGAACTCTGCAGCAACCTCCTCAAATGTTGTCATTGATTCAGACTCAGAGGATATGATTCGTGAACTAGGGCCGTAACGGTTTATGCATTTGTGTAGATTGATACACCCAATGCTGAACCAAAGTTACGAAAAGATTAGTTCCACCTGGAAACTTTCAGTCATATGCCGTTAGCAAGTATTCCTGAAGTTAGCATTCCAAAGTGATTGGCATGAGAGACAGTCACACAATGACAAGCGCGAATGAAACAGCTAAGACACGCCTGCTGGATCCCTGTGAGCTACAACAGAGAGAGAGTTGGGTACAGGACAAGAACATTGTGTCACTAAGGATGTTGGACAGAAGTGAGAAATGGGATGGAGTTATGATTGAGTCAGTATCTTCCAGTTGTCTTTTACATTTAGAGCAAACGTTGAAAACCATAGGCTGTTTTAAAGAAAACAATCAGATGTTCTCAAGAGAGAACAAAGGACTAACAGAGGACACCTTGCCCAGAAAGAAGAACTGATTTGTGTTGGCAAAGCTATTATTGTTATCTTTGTTGTCAGTTAATGTTGGTCATATTTCATCCTTTCATCACAAGATGAAAGCAAAGATATGCAATTGAACTGCCAGTGCAGGAACTTTACCCATAGTCATGACAGCCTGCAAGTGGAGAGATATTTCATATGTATTGTCATTGCCAAAGGTTGCAAAGCTTATTCACTAATGATGACACGTTAGCGTTAAGGTATATCACAAGTGGAAACTGTACTCAAAATGTGACATTCCGTTCACCTTTTCTCATTTGCTTTATCATAATTGTCCTTTAGTATGCAGAACTTTGATGACAAATCAGCTGTTTACAAAGTAGATGGGTAGTCAGTAAAATGGCAGGTGAGTTGGTAAAAGAGTCTGTCAGTAAATATGGAAAATATGTTTTATAAGCATGATAAACGGAACATTTACTAAAATGTCTTACCCGTTAATCTTATGAATATATGAAACCAAAAAAAAGCAGTATATTAGTGTCAACATATACATATGTATGAATGCCGCATCGTGTGTGCCATCTTCATAACATCATTTAAGAAATAGTTTGGCAATATTAGCTTTCTGGCAGAGAATAAGATGAGAAGACTACTCTCATATCCGTCTTGGAAAACATAAGGCCACAGCCACCAGCCTATAAACTTAGCTTAGCATATAGCCTGTCTGTGTCCCAGAAGAACAAAATATTACCAACAAAACACCTACCAGCCCCCCTAAAATTCTAACAATCCAGTTTGTTTAATTGTACAACCATAGAAGAGTAAACACTGCAAATTGATGTTTGCCTTACACTTCCGTTTTTTTGGAGCTTATACATATATTTTGCTTAGTGAGCTTCAGAGGAGCTGGTAGGCAGAGTTTGTCATCTTTGGGGAGGTTCAGGCTAATTTATTCCCAGATTGCAGTCTTTAGGCTAAGCTAACCAACTGATGGTTATAGCCTTCGACAAATTGCTATTGATTTAGCTACATTATTTATGTACATCTCTGTAAATAATAACTGGTATTGTTTTCAAGTAGGTGGCAGCGTTTCCGCTAGGATTTTTTCTCGCCGGTCAAATGTCCTGACAGAATTTATTTTACTGGACACATTTGAAACTTACCGGTCATGTTTCAATAATAATAATAAGAATTGTGTAGCAGAGTTTCCGTTGGCAGGTAATTACCGGACTATGACCGGATATGCTGATGTTTAAAACTCAGTTAATGGGAGTCATTTTTATATTGCTTCAGTTAATCATAACAGATTCAGACTCATTTTTCAATAAACGATTCTACAAACAACATAATTATTACATTCAAACAAACTACTTTGAAGTAAATTATTCAAAAGTTTACATTAACTTTGAATAATAACACGGGAGAAACGGATGCTCTCTTTTCCCCTCTCCCTCCCTCTCTCCTGACAGCCCGTCAGTTTCTCATGCAGCGCGTTAAACAGTGGGCGGGGCTTCAGGTGATTATGCAGCAGCTGATCTGATCTCTCTCTCGTCCGGTTATACTTCACTCGCGTTTATGTCCATATCGATCAGATGCAGCTTGCCTGATCGGCCTTTATAGAGAGCACAGATCAAACTATTAAGAGTGAATATCGGCCGATAATGATCGATAAATGTTTGAATTTAATTAGTTAAGCAATTACTTTAATAAGTTATGTTTAATTAGTAAACATTTAAGGGAGGCCTAAGTAACATTTCCAGTCAAGGATGGACTGTAGGCTGCACTTAAATAGTGTTGATTGCCATTGCTTTGTCTATTTTGCACACAACCAAAATTGTTAGCATCTCAATTATTGCTCAGTACTGATGTGTCTGCCATCGTTTGGACAAGCTGCTATCCAACGAGGCCACATGGTGTGTTGTGTAATTAACAGACTGCTTTATTTGGACTTCTCCCTGTGGGTTTTTGAGTGTGTGTACATGCTTACCCTCACACAGCTCCCTAGGTTGAGGTGTCTCAGCTCTGTGCAGAAAGTCAGGACGCTCAGAATAGCCGTTTGCTGCAGAGACAACAAAGAGAAAGATGTTACTGACGTAGAGTTGTTATTTTATTAGCAATATTACATAACAAAATAAATCCATTCCAGTTTGGTACACTTGTAATATCTCAGAACCTATAGCTTGCAATCAGGAATTCACAACACATCAGGAAGCAATAGAATAACACAGAACAAACTGGCAACACATTCTCCATTACAACTTCTCATAAGGATACTTGGTCAGAACACTTTTACACCCTTTGTTCCTCTTAAATCAAAAATGTTTCACTGCAAGTATGTCGTCCAAGACTCATGGCTAACGTTACACAACTTAAAGGGGCCCTATTATGCACAGTTTCAGGTTCATATCAGTACGTAGTGTCTCTACTGTGACATGTCTCCATGCTTTAATGTTCAAAAAGCTCTTTATTGTTCTCATACTGCCTGTGCTGCAGCACCTCTGTTCACCCTCTGTCTGAAACCAGAGCCCAGTCTGCTCTGATTGGTTAGCTGACCAGCTCTGTTTTGATTGGTTAACTGCTTAGGATGTCCCACCCCTTAGCAAATCACGTACAGTACGTAACATGTTTGATTGCTAGCCAATAGAAGCGGTAGTGTAACATAGTGAGTCCACTATGTTACGGAAGTAAACATAAGAGTCGAATGGAGGCCTTTCAGGCGGGACGGAGTGTGTGGGAGAGTAATTCCCTCTGAAGGGAACTTTATGACTTTACAATTTTTACGATTTTACACAAAAACCTATATAACACTCTACAGGAAAGGGAAACCCACAAAAAGCACAATAGGGCCCCTTTAAGTATTTTAAATAGATTACAAATGCTATGCAGGTTAAGTGCGATTTTTTTGGGTTAGTTTCAGGGAACCACTTGTTTAAGTGTTGGAAAAGATAATTGTTAGGGTTAGAATAACTAAGTTTGTTACGTAACTTAAGAAGTTAGTTAGTAACTAAGCTAGTTAAGAGGGCTACGTTATGTACAGTATGTGACATATTTAAGCACGTAAATACGTTAAGCAAAGTTCAAATAAGTCAACGTTGAGTTTTACTTTCACTCCGGACAGTAACAGCGGCCTCCTGTAAGAAGGTGCTGTGTTTGATTGACCCATCCATCATAATCCATCTTGGAAAAAAGTCATTAGTTATTAAAAAGGCCCACAAGTCAAAGCCTTAAAATAAAAAAACAGATGCTAGAGAGGTATGTGGAGCGTCATAGTTTGACGCACAAGGCCACTGAGCGAGCTGCTGTATTTGACGAGCTGGGAGTGATAACGGAACAGTATTGGAGTCACATGTTCATCATCACACTAAATCTAAAGTCTAAATCTACAAGGTATACATTAAAAATAACAATATACCTTTAATTTACACTACCATGTCTAGTCATGTCACCAACAGTTCCTCCTAAGTGATTTCCTGTCTGCTGCCGCGGGCACTCAGGCTACGCTTATTGTATCGAAGGGAATTTAATAGGACGCAACAGCTAGTTTTCACCTCACAAAGTCAAGCACAGTGAGGACACAGACCTCTCCAGTGGCGCTGCAGCTTGGATAGAGATATGGGAATTCAACACTGCAACCGCCAACACTGTGTACCTCAGGGCAGGAGAAGGTGTCAGACATGGAAGTGAAAGCCGTGTGTGTGTGTGTGTGTGTGTGTGTGTGTGTGTGTGTGTGTGTGTGTGTGTGTGTGTGTGTGTGTGTGTGTGTGTGTGCTGCAGCCTGTCGCTGGCTTCTTTATAAACGCCTCTCTCCGCAGAGCTAGCCATTTAATTAGAGCAGTGACAGGGTAATGACAGCTGAGATGTCAGGCCCTCAAACAGACACACAGCCTGCTCTGTCTGCCCGCTGGGTGAAAACAACCTGCAGCACGCTGCCTGGCTCCACCGCAGGAACTCTACACTGCCTACTGCCCACAATCTGAAACATGACAAACACTGGAGAAAACGCTGAGGGGGAACACAATACAGCCGTTTTACACGTCAGACAGGCCTGAACCTGACATGCAGTACGTGTCTGCAACACCCCCTGAGCTCAGACTTGACTTAGTTCATCTCAAAAGATAATAATACAAAATGAGCTACGCAAAACGTAAAGTATGTGCCACCAAATAAACAGCTTGTCCAACATTAGGACAGGGCTTGTGAAAGTCTAACATTTACTTAACATTAAGGATGGAATAATATAGGATTTTATTGAAAAAAAGTTATTAGAAACACTGACAATAAGTTGATATTAGTGAATTTCAACTTAAACAAGAATATTCTAACTTCAGAAAGCTGTCTAGCTCGCTGTTATTGTAGAGAAGTGAATACTAGAGCCTGGTTTAAAGAATGCGCTTTTATTTATTTATCTTTGTTTGTTTTTTAAATCTTCAGGCCCTTCAGAAATGATCAAAATGAGACAATCTGAAAATGGGAATTATCATAATTTAGGTTAAACAGTTCAGAGCTCATAGACCAACAGTATACAACCTGTGAGTAGCTAGGTCTTGGCTGTAAAGGGCTACAAGTTTAAAAGGTTAGAAACTAGTCAGTTAAGACTAGTTAATACTTCTGTTTTGTACCGTGGTCATACAACACTTTTCTCATACATTGGAAATACGGCAAGCTACCCAACAGAAACTGCTAAACCTATATACTGATTTGTTTCCAACAGTCACAGATAAAGACACAATCATCTTTTCAAGCAATTCTAGAAAGATTTGCTTTGTAGATGTCTGCAGAAAAGGACGATGATGATTACTACTGCAGAAAACCCTTTTTGTTGACAATAAAAAAGCGAAGATGCTCATGTTACTGTCAAGCAGACATGTTGACGTCCAAGCATGTCAGTGTTTTGGCTGTTGGTAATGTGAGTATTCAACTTGTTCTGCCTTATAATTAGCATACCAATGTGATGTTTCTATCTGTATGCTAATTTGCCTAGCATCCAATCTTTAATACTGACTTTTGTTGCTTTTGGCTCCTTGTGATCTTGCCACTTAAATAGTGGTGACAGAACACCTGGAAACGTACTGTATGAACATAAATTGCTACATTAGAAAAAGAGATTGTAAAATACAACATTAAAAACGTTCAATCTAGTGCTTTCAACCAAACGGCATCCGCAAAGGAGGTCTGCCTATTTTCATAAAACAACGTATATCAGTTACTCTTTCCATGCTCAAGAATAAACGGTGAACTGCTTAATTTTAAGACAAATGAGATGTCCTACAAAATCTCAGAATAATGTTCGCAAAATTCAGAAAATTCTACAAGTTTCCCAGAACATTCAACGATTTTCTTAACCTCTCATTAATCTTCCTAGCGTGATATCTTCTTTATATTAGGCAATACTGGAAAATGACTAACAAAATAAGACAAATGTAGCCTTGCTTGTATAAAAGGTAACCAAGCAACCTGCATATTACAAACAGGGAAACCATTTTGAATATAAACATATTAACTATCTTACAGTCTACCTGCTGTATTTGGACAATGATGTTAAAATGTCACTTTCATAGAGGTTTCCCAGATACATTGTTGACCGTGCCTACCTCTATCTTGGTCCGGTAGAGCACCAGCCTGCGGAGGCGTGTCAGTTTGGAGATGTGTGTGAAGGCCTGCGGTTGGAGGCGGTCGCAGGAGGACAGGTTGAGCTCCTGCAGCCCGGGACACGTCTGAGAGATGACCTCCAGGCAGGGCTCGTTCAGGAAGTGGCAGCACGACAGCTCCAGGGAGCCCAGGCTCTGACCGCAGGCCTTCATGAAGCTGAGGGGGGGAATAGATGTACAGGGGAAATCAGGAGAGCAACATACTAGTGCACATGTACTTTAGATCAGTGATTCTCAAACTTTTTTCAATAATGTACCCCCTTTGAAAAAAAAATTCAGCCATGTACCCCCTGATCAGCACAAAAACTATTTGTTAGGGAAGAAATGCCTATATAAAGAGGTACAGTACATCGCTGCACCATCGGTGTCTGATTTATTAAAACAACAACCTTGTAACTGAGAAACACTTAAATGCTACATTTCAAATGTTTACAATCCATCACTAAATTCATGGCAAACCAATTTTAACATCATGCAATAACACAGAGGACATTAGTTGCATTGAACTGATCTTTTTAATAAGTTGTACTTACAATGTAGTGAGAAACATGGGCTTGTGCTTCACTGAGGAGCTTTGTTATTCTCAGTGACAGGAAGGCCACTGCAGTTATTACACTTTGCGTTTTGAAATATGTGTAACTCTGTTAATATAAAACCCACACTTTTTTTTTTGTATTAACATAACAATAAATCTCACGTACCCCCTGCAGTACTCCAACATACCCCTAGGGGTACCCCCATTTGAGAACCACTGCTTTAGACAATATGACTTTTACATAATATCTTATTTTCTTTTTGTCATTATTGAAAAATCTTGGTAAAACTTTCTATGACGCACATGTCTATAAGTCATTGTAAGAATACTAATAATGTGCTATAATCTGTATAATTATAGTTATAAATTATAAATGTTTATAATTTTGACTGGAGGGCAAAGGGATGTATTCAAATAAAAACATTTTGACCTGACCAACAGGAAAAATACCCAAAGCAATTTATATATTTACTCACAAGGTCAAGCATTAGAATACTCTACATATGCTGGTGACTCACATATCTTTTTGTTGCCAGGATGTAGTATAACCCTTTTTCACTTTTCAGTCACTTTTGATTCATGTTCACATAAAAGTGAAATGTATAACTACAGTTAAGTTTAAATAGTTTCATCAAATGTTGAGTCAATGGGGTATTTTTTGGGAAACATTACATTAGTGAAATGTGCGTGCATCATTCAGTTGTTCATCATTAAAAGGTGGTGTACATTTGAAGTACTACATTTCTGTTATGACTTGTAGATATTAAACTAGTTTGACTTTGTGTGTTGCTCTTGCAAAGATTGAATACAATGACATTCTTTATTTATTAAAAGCAAAAAAAGGACCAAATACACAAGAGAGACTTCAACCCGCTTGTAATGTATTATTTCCGCCTATATCTCAATAATTGTAGTACTTCTCTCACTTTATAATGCATTTTAATGTGATTATAAGTAGTAGTATTATAACAGTAATCAAAGTGCATGTGAAACAATGATTATTTATTACAATCTATGGGAACTATAGTACAATATGATCCGTGTAATTAAACAAGACCTAAAAAGTCATTCAATGCTTGATAATGTTTTATGATCATTGTCATAAAACATTATTGTATCATCAAACAGCATTAGACAGTTTTATAAGCAGATAACCCATTATAAGGATGTGTATACCCCATCATTTATAGACATGGGCGACATAGAAACTAACTTTCAATCCATTGTCTTTGTCTCAGCATGTCCCTCCCTCAGAAAAAAAAAACACTTGAGTATTTGTTAGTTTCCCAAGGTCATCTGCCTGTGTTCTAATATGTGCGGCGTGCTGACAGTCTGACCTGCTGAAGCCGGTCAGGGTGAGAGCTCCGCGGTTGCCGATCCAGGACAGGTTGAGCCTCTGGAGGAGAGTGCAGCGGCTCTGCAGGTGTCCCAGGGAGACGTCAGTCAGCCGGCCCCAGTAGGGCTGCAGGCTCAGCTGGGTGTACTGCAGCGGGTCGCAGCAGTGCTGGTGCAGCAGCTTACAGCTCTGGGCCAGACGGCAGAGGTCCGGCAGGGTCAGGTGGCTCAGAATCAGCTGGATGAGCTGTGGATGGAGGATGGGGAGAAAGAGGATAAGGTTATGGAAAGAAAAGGCAACAAAAAAGAGACAGGAGAGACAAAGCACAAGACTGTTATGTCTGTTAGGAGAACACAGCACAAACCAAAGAGTGGTGGAACGTAGTAGAGAATAACAGAGAAGTCTAGAGAATGTCAAATAGTGTTTATCTGGGACACAAAGCACTGATAGCAGGATCAGTGGAGAGGTGAGCCGGTTTGTTTTGCACCGTGTTCCCTCTCAAAGAGAAAGAAGGATTGTGCGAGTGTGTGTTGCAGTGATTTAACAATACACGGTGTTCAAGCGAGTATCAGCTGACAGATAATAGCTATATTGTGTTTCTAAAACAAACACACGGCGGTTGTGAAGACTGCTGTTAATGGCAGTGGTTTGGAGAGGAGATAAGAGAAGGAATATCAAGCGAGCTGCCGGTGTTTTGAAGCTCGTTTGAAACAACATGATACGTGTGCGTGGCATGGAAATGACTGAGTCCATGATTGCTTACGATATCAAGTTTCAACAGGTCCGAGCTACAAAACTCATGTGTTTTCTTGGAATACCGGTTATTATGGTGTACATGTGCACTCTGGCGCAGGTATAATGATTGCAGGGCTTGCTGTTGCTAATGATCTTGGGGTTTATGGCTGAAACTAAGGCCGTGCAGGTAATGTTATACAGTACCTTGCTATCATTTGACACTATTCCTTTGATCTATAGGTGGCAGTAACATGCAAAGAAATGCTGCAAGGCACCAACAAAGGATGCAAAGAAGAAGATTGCAATCTGGTCAACATGGATGTATACAATGCAGAGCCAAAAGCTGCTTTGCAAACGATTTATGAGGAAGGATAAGCATTAAACACGGTCGTTACAGCTCAAGAAAACTGATGTTTGACACAACACTCCAAAGGGCACTTTCAATGACAACCTCTATTATTAATGTGGGTGACAATTATCTATGGAGGCACACCATAACCGAATATTTATTGGTAAAAAAAAACAAAATAAGCCTTTTGTGAAAAAAACAAAAACATTACTAATCCCTAACACGAGCTTGAGAATCTATTCGGAACTGCAACTTTAAAAAGAAAAAATTATATACTCATTAATGACCACATTTTTACTTCTGATGTTAATATCATTTTTTTTTAATTCTATTTTATTTCATGTTTAATTGGACATGTTAATTTATTTTATAATGGGTATACATATTTTTATTTACTTTGTTATCTTTTGATTGCACATTCTTACCTTTACTTCCTATGTTTATATTCATATTTAGTATTTTATTTTTCATTTGACTCATTCTGAATGGAGTGGCACAAAACCTAATTTCCAAAGGGAAAAGTAAAGTATTGTCTGAGTCTGATACTATATCTGTAAAGTCTGGGATCACCTCATAAGGCAGTTTGTCAAAGTAGCCATTGCCTGTCCTCTTGGCCTCCCCTCCTTGTCTGAATGGACCTCCCAGATCAGACAGCTCCTCCTCGCTGTCACTCAGGTCGTTAATATCGATGATGGGCATCTTATAGCGGGCCAGCATGGGCCTCTCTTTCACCCCCCGCAGGATGACAGCGTCCAGCTCCGTGTAGTAGTCCAGCAGAGAGCTGTTGACCTCTATTCGCAGCAGGTTGGTAGGGAAGTTGATGTGCTTGATGTTGGGGGAAAACTGGCGGGCCTGGGGGGTCAGCACCTTGGTGGGCTCCCCTGACCACAGCACCTCCCATCTGGAAAAAGAGAGTTGTACTGTGAAGCCAAGTGGATTAAATGTTTCCCCCCCTGAAACTGGGCATGTCACTCTAGTGTGAGATGTTGCCAATCTGCTTCCTAGTATCCAGTCCTCTCTTGGTCCCTTAAGAACGAATATTAAAACAAATGTCAGGAACCTGGAAGTGCTTTTAGACACCAACCTCACCTTTTAAGAGAGCCACTCACAGGTTTATCCAGTCATGAATACCATCTCATAAATCAGCTGTTTTAATGACGATCAAAACATCATTCATGCTTCTATTTCCTCACAGTTGGAGTATTGTAATGGTCTTTTAACGAGTACTGCAAGCCTCCTCACATTACTCCAATTGTAATGACCGTACACTGGCTGTCTATTTGTTTTAGTATTGATTTTAAGATTTAACTTAATTATTTAAAGCCCTTTCTGGCTTGGCCCTAAAATATAAATCAGTGATTGCTGTTGGGTACCTGGCTGTCGATGGTGCTGCCGGAGGTACTCCTGCTGCTACAGCTCTATCTTCCTTTAAATAACTCCATTCTTTTCAGATTGTTTTACAATTGGTTTACTTGTACTTTGTGTGATAAAAAAAAAAGCGTCTTTGGGTTTCTTGAAAGGCGCTATAAAAATAGAAATTATTATTATTATTATTATTATACTCTATGTTGATGATGATAAAGAACAATTCAAAAATACAAGTAGTCTTTTTCCAGTATTATTGTGTATTTGATTGTGTTTTTTGTGTTAGTTGTAAGACTGGTTTTGATAGGTGTCATGTAAATAAAAAGTATTATTATAATTACGATTATTCATAAAAGCTTCACGGATTGCCGGTTTCCGACTGGTAAAGGGAAATCAATGGTCAGTGTTGAACTACTGTAGCTCTCTAAAAAAACGTCTATGTAGGACAATGACCTTGGAATTCTACTCAGTGCTCCAAATGCTGTCATGGTGCTACAATCAGGAGCAATGTTTCAAAAATACATTTATCAAAAATGATTATCGTATGTTGAATGCTCAAAAGAGAGAAGAGTTTAGAGACAATTCATTTAATACATGTTCAAAAAACATATTGAAATATAAATAAATCTTTCTCTACGTTGACAAAATTTGCTTGGAAAAAATATAGCTACAATTAATATAACTTAGTCACTTAAACCCATGATTAGATGTGGATTGTGGAATACAGAGATGTGTTATAATGAAACAAATAAAGAAATGGGATTAAAGGGATTTATCCTTCAACTGCTGTGCCAGAATACACACCTCAAGGCAATGCGTCTCTGCCAATGTAATACAAGTTGGCTTCTAAACGTCGCTGCTGGTTTGTAGCCAATACTGATTTGATGGGCTTGGTTGCACAAAAGTTACTACTTTCTTTACCAGGTACTTTTTCCACAGAACCTCAGAGGGTCACCACAAATCAAATTCATATGCATCCAATTATTGATTTAATAATTGGAAAGAAACCCCAGTCAAATAATACAGTTTTACTGAAACTTCAGGCTTACAATTGTGTCTCTTGGTTTCACTGCCAGATAGACACTGCTAGAGGTGAACCAAATTCCTAAGGTAGCCATAAACATTATTTAAAGAGCACTTTCCATAACAACACAATGTCCTATAACAAACAAAGGAAAATAATGAATTAAAGCTAATTTGATAAAGAATACAAATGTCAGGTATCAATGTGTACGAGCATAACAATGCAAGCAATAAATAATAATTATTATTATTCAAATAAGGCTAGAAATGTCTCCATTGTAAATTCATGAAACGAGAAGACTAGCTCTCACTTCAAAGTTGTGCTTACCTGCTGGAATGCCTTTTTGTGTTAATCAACTACAGACTACTTCATTTCATTGTGCAACTGCGTGTTGTAGAATAGCAATAAATGAACTTTGATTTAACATTTGATTGCAGCACTGATACTGATGGTTTCCTCTTTACCTGACATCAGTCGGTGGATTCTGGGAGAAGGGGTTGTGAGAGCAGGCCATAATTTGGACGATGGCTCCAGGGTAATAAGTCTCAAGCACATCCACTGCTGTAGGGTAGACAGGCTCCTCAAAGCCCAGTTCAATATAATCCTGGCTGTGGAAACCTTTGGGTGTGCGGCGAAAAGGTGGTGGAGCGCTGGCACATTGTTCCCACCACTTCCCATAGGCTCTGAATACAGCCGTCTGAGTGAAGTCCCCTGAGCTGGGGTAGACGTTGGGGACCCCGGCCAGGTTCCACATGGTGTACGACATGCTATTCTCACTGCCATAGTGGGAGCTGAAGTCCAGAACCTCCTTGGCATACTGCTCCACCTCAACACTGACCGGCAACACCGCCCGCTGGCCCGACTCCACGGCCCGCCGACTGGTCAGTGCCTCCCCTCGAGTCCCACTCCTGGAGCGGCGCCGCAGACAAATATAGTAAAACATGCTCATGAGGGTTAACATAGGGAACTCTGGGGTTGAAGGGGGCCGTGAGTAGAAACGGAGCCTAGGGGAGGAAGAGCCTCCACCTACTGGAAGGACACTGACTCAAGGGGGTGTACAAAGCGCAGGCTAGGGGTCCGGCTGCATGTATGACCTGTGGGTTAGGCAGAAACAAACACAAGTTAGAAGAACACAAAGACAACAGGTCCTAGGTAGTACCACAGAGTATAATGCTTATTGATTCTGAATCCTAACTTTTTCACAAAATAGAAGAATAGAACAATGGAAGAATGTTTGCCACACCTAAGGCTAAAAACCCTAAATAGCTAACCATTAATGGAAGCATTACAAAACATAGAACAACCTAAAACTAACGTAAACCAACAGACCCATTTTGGGCTTTGGGCACTTACAGATACCAATTTCAGAGGCTCATGGAGAGTGAAAGTAAAGGTTATTAATTGACAGGCACATTGCGTCCTACTGTCATATCAAACGCCTGGCAATAGTGCAGTAAATGGTAACACTCCCTCTCTACAGCTGCCACAGCAACCATGTCATCAAAAGTAAGCTCCAGCTCAAATAATGCCCATTTTGTTTATCAATGACCTGTCCTCAAGATAGGCAGGGATTTCTGCTTAACATGAGAGCACATTTATCAGGTCAAACTGGAAACTCGAGGTATTGAGTCGGACACCCATGCTATAAAAATGTGTTTAGTATCGCTTCAGTTACATTTGGAAATACTTCAAAAGGAAGCAACACCTGGGATACTGATATCAACAAAGAAGCAGTTCTAATATAACATCAGAACTGAACTAAAGTGGATAGACTGGTCTTAAAAATATTGAGCCAACACTTTCTACATAATAAATGTTCGTCTTTAGCATGAATGCTTTTATGAGCATTGAAATTAAAAACAGTTATAATGTTACACCAAGCATTTTGGGTTGGTCGATATTAAGTTTGCTTAATCAATAATACTGAGAAATGGCTTTGTTGTTCACCATTTACCGTCAGGTACGGCTTAAAAAGGTCATTCCTTCTTCTTGTGAACCACTTAACTAGCTAAAACTACCTACCGCCAACTGTGCACATTTAGAAATGTGTATCCAAAATGTCCTTAAGCCTTGGTAACTCTAAAGACATTTCCTATGTTAGGTACAATACAGTCTGAGGAACTATCGTTACCACGTATACACTGTTGCTTTCTGAAGCACATTATTCAGAAAAAACACTAAAATGAATATCCCTAATGTAAAATTAGAAGGAGAGATGAGCTGCTTCCCACAGTTTGAGTTGTTGTTATTTTTAAACTGCTGGTATTAGTTAGCTAGCTAGCTAGGAAACGTTAGCTAGCTAGCTAGCTAGCCTACAGACAAGCTGAGCTGTCAAAACACAAACATTAGATTACGTAGCTAGTTTAGCCAAACCGTGCAGTCAAGAGCACGGGAAAACACAATTAAATTACGGTAAACGTAGGTCGATATATCCATTCATGAGGAAGGTTTAATCCTCTTCTTTCTTTAACAGGACATTTCAACAACACAACAACATTCCTGCCGTTTACCTTGTGATGCCTTCCAGGACAGTCGGACAATGCATTCACTTACTGAGCGCACGTATATAAACCATATAACTGGAATATAATGGTGGATTTATCGAAGTATGTATGGTATCTAGTTTTTGACAGTTTATATTTACTGAATAAGGAGCATGTCGGCAACGGTTGTATCGTCAGCTGAAGTTAAAACGGATTATTAATGCGGAACTGCCATTGTATCAACTAAATTGCATCCTGTCGCGTTAAATAGCTGAATGTCAAACAGATTGCAAGTTAAGAGAAAATGTAACATGTCTATTTTGGCAATTTTGTTCAAATTGAGCGACTACATTCATGGATTTTATATTAAGGCAATAAATTACTTGGAGCTACGTAGAACAGTAAAAGCCGCATCACTTCCGTATAATATACACTCAAAGGCAAGGCAAGTTTATTTATATATATATATATATATATATAGCACCTTTCAACCTCAACACAAGGCAATTCAAAGTGCTTTACAAAAATTAAAACATTAATAGCATTAAGAAATCATTTGCTTTCACACATTCATGCAGCTTGCTACTCTTGGACCCCATCTGTAGTCACTTGAGTCAACAACAAAAGGTATTTTAGTATTTCTACCATCACTTATACAAAGATAGTCATACGTATGATTGATAGATAGATATCAATACTACTCACGTCAAATGTCTTAATCTCGATATAAGCACTAGCATTCATACAGTAGTCATTTAACTCAAATTGTAAAAATGAATTGTAAAATGATTTATACAAAAACAAAAGGTCATTTCTGTAGGCCAACTAGTATTCCAAATTAACCTGACTTGTTAACAGGTTAAAAATAAGGAATGTGTAAGTTAATATGTTACTTGAGAAGTTAAAATGAATTTAAGTTTAATTTGAATGGTTTAACAAAAATCCAAAAAGGCCAAGTCACTGCCTCCTCTCCCTCTTTGCGAGTTGTATTTTTTTACAAGGTTCCATCTGCCCTAAGTTATATCTTAAAATGTTCTATGCTAAGTCCGGTCCATACTTATTCCACATGAAGTACATAACGTGTTCTTTAAAGAATACATATGTATAGCCTAGGCATACATTCTTTATGTACAGATGTGATATATGTTTCCTGTGTTTTACCCAGAACTCTTATTTGACAGTTGATACTTTCATTTTAATACTACTTGTTTTCAACCCTGAAGAATAAAGTTGACATGGAAGACGAAGCCACATTTAAATTCCTTATTAAGCTCTGCAGAGCAAACCACGGGGTGAGAGAACATGCCAGACTCAGACAGAGCCTGTGTCATTTTGAAGCTGACAAGTTGTCAGGAATTCATATTAAATACACATCCAAATAAAGGTTGTTAAAACAACAACAACATTCCATATTACCACAACTTGGTGTAAAAGGGCTCTCTAAGAACATGTTTTGCCGGTTATATTAAAGCATGTGAGTTACTCTGCTTTCTTGAGGAGTTTGAGTAAAGCAAGTGATGTTCTTTTGCCAATAATTCCTACACACACAAAAAAAGCAGCACTTAAAGAGTTTGAAACACTATCGACTGTACAAAGTCGATATGGATAAAAGCATCAGCGGCATGACATGTAATGTAATGTTGTATAATGTACATGGAAATTCATTAATTTTCTTTTTTGTTCAATAAATCTATGTATTATTAAACGTATTACCCAATTTCATAAATACATACATGTTCTCTTACCTGGATTGCTTTACTGTATATCAATCTAGGTGGTTTGAGATCAAGGCTGTAGAGGTGGCCTTCTTCCTGATATAATGGAACTAATTGGTGCACAAAGTGGCAAAAGAATGCATTTGAAAAACTCAACAGCAATGTGTCTTTCCAGAAATAATGCCCTTGTTACTCAAGATAGTCCACAAACATTGTTCTAAGCATTTTCATGTAGGACATCTTTTCTTTCACCTAAACTTCATCTGCTTAGCTAGCTAGCATTACTGCTAAACCAAGCAGGAAGTCCTTCATGTTTACATCTTACAGTGTCGTGAGCAAAACCCTATCGTCCATGAGTTCCTGATTTTAGGGTGAACTGTCCATTTCATAATTTGGACTGGAAGGCAAAGGGATGTATTCAAATAAAAACATTTTGACCTGACCAACAGGAAAAATACCCAAAGGTACACAGTTAAAGTATGAAGAGTACGAAAGCAATAACTAATACATTTCACATTTGGAAATCGCTAGCAGCCTTATTTGCCAAAACTTGATTTATTTCTAAAGGATAGAAAAACATTTCTTACTTGACAAATAATCCATTAAATATTTCTGCCAATGTTCACAGTACTCTGCATTCGTCATGATGCCACTTTAATTATAACAGATAGCTTAAAATGCAGACACAGGCTAATTAAATCAATAAATAATGCTAATTTGATCTGAATATGCATGCTGTTGTGTTGTTTCTAGTGGTGCATTAACTTTAATGGTTGTAACATTTTCCAGATATTTTGGAAAGTATTGTTGTTTTGTTGCTAGCAGTCTAATTGAAAGTGTTCTGTGTTAAAAGCCTCTTCTCTGCAGCCTCTGACCTCCCCTGTGACTTCATCCTACCCAAACCCTCCACCCACAGACCAGGGCGACACCATGTGATACAAGATTGTGAACGTCAGCTCTACACTGTAGATTCAAGCAAAAATACCAATCCGTGCTTGCAAAATGTCTCTAAATGCAGGTATTTGAGGTTATTGTGGTTGGGAACCATGGCTTGTTTGTACAGTTCAGTTGGAGCTAATAAAATATTTGATCATTATGAAAAATAAATCCTTATCTCTCGAGAAAAAAACCCATAGAAGATAGAGCTAGAGCTAATGGAGGCTCTCTCCAATGCCAATAAATACAAAGAGCCAAAGTTATTGGTGATTTTAGAAGTAACTTGTTCTCCTGGGATACTACTGTAATACAAGAGCAGCAATCCCATGTCATCGGTTTAACAAAGCACACACAGATCTTAGCTTTCATTGAATCCAGCCAGCTGTACCTATAAAGTATTGCAACAGATTATTTTCTGGAGACACAAAGAGAACTACCTCTTCCACAACTTCTGTCACCGATTAAATAAGCAAAAGTGAAATAAACGTGGACAAATATGGCTGTTCCTAAGTCCAAATAAAACGTAAAAGGTAATCTTATTTTAGAGATATAGTTTGTAATTAGACATGTCCCAAAATAGTACACATTATATAACTTTGAAAGCACAGTTATACCATTGAACTCTACTTCGTTAAATATAGTAGACAGTTAAATCATTGCTTTTGTCCAAAATAAATCAAGAACAAAATGATATTGGGTTTCATTTTAGGCCTCAAGGCAGTAACAACAGGCAAAGTAAAAAAATGTTTTGTCTTTGTAGAGTTATACTTGAGTTAGCTTAATGTCAAAGCTGCTAATAGGATACAGCTTTGAAAATCACACTCGTTCTTTTTCTTTCTTTCTTTCTTTCTTTCTTTCTTTCTTTCTACTATTACCTAAATAAATAAATAAATGCATACAAGAGACATACACACACACACACACACACACACACACACACACACACACACACACGGTCCCATTGTGGCTGACATTTGCAAAGATGAATGACTGAGGCTCTGCTGTCAAAACCAAAAGAGCCGAGCGTCTCCACAGACCTGTGGGCAACCAATCACGTGTCCGGATCTCATTAGCAGGCATCCATTGTGGGTGACAGGAGGAGATAATTACCTTTGACTACAATAGCTCTTGGTCTCTTCATCCCAATGGCAAAAATGCCTGTCATAGAGACTGTGGTACGCTTTGAAGATACAAAATACACCCAAGGAAATGTGTCTTTTTTTGATTGGAGACATGTCTATGACTTGCAAGATGTGATAGCTGAAGTAAGAAATATTTAGATTCTTCAATTTGTTCAAAGTAGTTAACACACTGGGACGCATTGCAAGTCAAGATTCTACACTTAGGTAAAATATGTGTAAAAAAGTAAAATGTTGTAAAAAAAAGAAATTCTCATCATGCAGAGAAAAATTCTGTTTTAATTTTATGTATGATGTTTTTGTATTAATATAACTGCTGCAGATGTTAATGGCTGAGCTAATTAAACTCATTTAAATAGTATATATTATACTATATTTTTTAAGTTTCTGAAAAAAAGCTTTAATGTTCAAACAGTGCTTTTATTTTTAGTCAATCCAAGATAATTTTTAACATGTTAATTTAGCTAAGAAGGAGAATTTTCGCAATTCATAAGGAAAGATTTTTATCTTTTATTTTTATCATAAACATAAAAAATCAACACATCTGGAGATACATGGATTTCTAAATAAATTGAGCTGTTGAGTTTTACCAAAAAAGAATATTCATAGGCCTAAAAAGTTGCATACAAAATAAATACTTGAGTAAAGTACAACTATGTGAAATTTGAATGTAGGTACAGTATTTGAGTAAATGTGCAATACATTATTTGTATAATACTTTATAGTTCTTAAATATGCTGAATAACCAGTTACCCTTTGACAACAATGTACTTAATCAATTCATTGGACTTGTTTCTACAAAAAAGGACTAACTCACAGAATGGCATGTTTTATCCCTGTAGCAGTTTTTCATCACTTTTTCTTGATTGATCTCTGTCTGAAACAGACCCATGCAGCTAAGACCATAACACAGAAGCACATCAGAGAAAAGGATGCAACGAACCAAACACACACACATACACACACACACACACACACACACACACACACACACACACACACACACACACACACACACACACACACACACACACACACACACACACACACACACACACACACACACACACACGAAGTGCATAAACAGTGCCCAGCCAGATTTAGAGTTAACAAGATAGGATGATGTGAATAGAGAGCTAGTGGGCACGTCTGTGATTGACAGGCCGGGCCGCTGTCAGCTCCTCCAGGCAGGCATCAGCGAGCAGCAGTGCTGCTACTGTCAGAGCTCTGTTCTGGTCCACTGTGCCACACATACATATGCACATGGCCGAGCACACACAAATGCAAATGAGGATGGACACATATATTAAAGCACACGCACACTTACATGTGTACGCACACACACAGAAAAAGACACACCCTCTTTCTTTTTTCTTTTGTGCCACACACACATTCGGGCACACACTTTCTGTCCCTTTGCTTTGCCCCAGCTGTCAGAAGCCAGTAAAATAACGAGGCTGCCGCTCTCCTTCCTTTTTGCATAGAGGCTGAGGAGCTGGTTATTGCTTCTATAGAAGAGTACAGTACGTGTGCTT